TGTCATCTTAGTAAATAAGTGAAGGTTTTCTGGCTGGGTCACAGTAGGAACCTTCTCAGTGGACTTTGAAGTACTCACTACCCCTCACAGAAAATGTCAGCTATTTTTAGAACAGAAAAAGGAAGTCGAAAAAGCACAAAAATGTATAAATAATGTGCAAACATGACCCATTTGAGTTTCAGAGAATACTGAAATGTAAGTATACCATCAGAGTCTAAGGAGGTGTTTAAGAGAGGAAGAGAAACACTGAGCACCAACCACAGGGTACTTTCAGTTTTACAAATGATAAAATAGGGATTCACTAATACCTTACCAATGCTTAGTAGTGTGTCGTTTACCATATCTTATGGTGTAACAAGTTATAACAAAATAAATGTGAAACTCTTTGTGCAACTAAAATGTCTAACAGTATGCAGATTTAATGGGCAAAGGGTATTTTAACATTATAGTTTCATCATAAACAATAATGTAAAATTTCCTGCTTCAAACTCAGTATGAACACAGAGAGAATGCAGAGGTAACTACAGGAATGGCCTGTTTAGGATGAAAACATGGTTATTTCCCTTTTCCCTGTTGTTCAAGTAAGCAACATACATGTATGTTGCTTACTTGAACAACAGCACCTGAAATGACATGGCCTCCTAAAATTAGCCAGACCAGACTGAGCTAGGATAACACAAAAACATGTTGGTGTTATTTTTCATGGTATTGCATCAGGTTTCCTGAGTAATTACACTTTGATTCATTTGTTATAAGTATTAGCCTTCAGCAGGAGCTTAATCTTAGCCAGTATAGAAGGAGCTTGCCCCCCTGCTTATACTACAAGGATACAAGTGTGACACTCACATGATGTCCTCTAGTGGACCAACCAGTGTATTACATATTTTTTCCATCTTACTGGGCTGCTGATCTTTAGTGAAATGAACTGACTGCATGTTCGTTTATAAGCTAATTTAATTACTATTAGTAATCACCTGTACAATAGCACCGATACTGGATTGTATGAAGACCAGCACAAACTGCAGTGGGTCAAAAACGACAAATTAATGCAGCTTCCTCATCTGGATGGATCCTGCACTCCACCTGAGAATGACTATATATTATGTAAGTGCAGTTTGCAGTTGAAATTAGGATTAGATGCTTTGTATTAGAATTAGATAAATTACCTAAAATTTATATCAACGTCAGATTTGTTATAATAAATAAAGCTGTAACTTTTCAGATCATTTTCCTTAACACTTCTTTTGTCTGACAGTCAGAAATTACTGATGATTGGGTCTTTATCTGTATTACTGGTTGCTTACTGCTATCATTTGATTAAACATGGATGTACTAATTTGTTCATTTATAAGGTGTATTATTTCAGGTTAAAAAATGAATGTGACCTTAGTGATTTTAACTTTTTAGTTCCATAAGAGCTGGCTCAAGGACAAGGACTCAGTTAAATGTTACCCATTTTGGTACTTACACAGCTATATCAGGCATAACATGAAATATGTTGTTTTGACATTATATTTTGCACAATTTGCAACAAATTATCTCCCCAAAACTCTGCTAAATCATGTTTGTGTGATTCATTTGAATGCAATTTAAAGTTGCTTATTGTTTTCTTTGTGAGTTGATCTCTGTGTAGAGATGTAACTTAAGCAGGAAGCTGTTTTCACTTCTCTGTTCCCACAAAATGATTTTGGTATGTCACAATAAACTGGACTGGAAAAAACAAAATGCTCAGACAGCACTTTTCTTTGGTTCATGTTAGAGTGAAATTAGTGTGAAGTTTACGTGCATTAACACTATCACTGAGAGAAGCTGTGAGCAGGACCTAGCCTGACACATGAGCACATGCACAAGGTAAGGAGTCGATTTATGTAAATGGGAACGTTTGGGAAAAAATGTAATGAAAAATCCAA